TGGATTGATAGCTCTGGCAGCTGATATTCTCTAGTCAGAGAACCAGGACTGCTGTGGCAGTCGGGGAAGGATGGTTGTTGCAACATGGTCTCAGAGTGGTGAAAGCAGAGAAGAATGAGTGGGATGCTTAGGACTCCCACAGGATATGGCATATCCCCCTTCCCAGGGAAGGCACAAGATATTTAATTCAGATGCAGTGGCCAGTCAGACAGGCATAAGACCAAATTTCAGGTGGGTTCCTATAATCACCTTAGATGCTCTCATGCCCTTTAGTTAAAGGCACTTCTGACAGAGGTCTTTAATCCCCAGCTGTAGCAGCCAGGCTGTTCAATGAAGTGCTTCCATGCTACTAGGAGTGTACACCTGTGCGTAGTACAATCTGGGGCAAGGGAGCAGCTGCTGCTTAGTCTAGAAGAGTATTCTGCTGTACCATGAGATAGTGGAGTACCCAACCCAAACAAGGATGGCCTCATTCTTTTCCCAATTCTTGCCACAGACTGCCTGCATGACCTTGGGCAGGTCATTTCATCTCTCTAGTCAAGATTTTCAGAGATGTTTAGATATATTAGTTGCCAGACAGGACAGCTACAAGCTCCCACCCTCTGAAAACCAGACTCTTAAGGTGTCAAGAAAGGTGTCCCAAAACAGAGCCATACAAAATCCAGTTATGTATCGGCTTCTGTTTCTACCCTGTTTCCCCGAAAATAAGACATCCTCCGAAAATAAGGCCTACTTACAGTTTTGCCTCTCGTTGTAATATAAGGCATCCCCCCGATAATAAGACCTCCCCGATAATAAGGCATCCACCGATGTGTACCGTATTCTTCTTCATTGAAAAATAAGACATCCCCTGAAAATAAGACCTAGCGCATCTTTGGGAGCAAAAATTAATATAAGACACTGTCTTATTTTCGGGGAAACAGGGTAGGATGACCAGACAGCAAGTGTGGAAAAATTGGGACAGGGTGGTGGTGGTGGTGGGGTAATAGGCTTCTATATAAGAAAAAGCCTCAAATATTGGGACTGTCCCTATACAATCAGGATATCTGGTCACCCTATCTGTTTCTCATCTGTACAATGAGGGTTATAACTTCCATTCTTCCACCTTTTGTCTGTCCTCTCTAGTTAAATAGTAAGTTCTTTAGGTACACAACATGTGTATGTACAGTACTCAGCACTGTGGGGCCCTGATCTTGGTTGAGAGTTAGTGACATAAATAACATCAATGGCAAGACCTCCCCTGGAAATGTTAATTTCATATTTGAATGATGCATGTCTATTCCCAAGCTCCATGTATTGGCCGTGTCACCATAGCGAGGCTCTCAGCTGGGAAAGGAGAAATAGAAACTTATTCTACTACAGTGTGATTCTCTCTCACTGAGAGAAATACTGATTGATTTGTACCAGGCTTCTGGCTGGATGCTGCTACTTGCCACAGTGCTCCTGCCTGACATCTTTTGGAAAGGAAAGACTGTTCCTTAATCAGGCGAGAATAACGTTTTAAAAACAAAATGGCAGCCTCCATTTGAAAATTGTGGTGGAAAACCAGCACAGGAACAAAGTGCATTTTTCCTGGTACATATCATGTGTGTCAGAATAGACTTCAAGCTGGGGAGGCCCCTCGGAAATAGGAGAAAGGCCAGAGATACATTGCCCATGTGCCCGTGACCTTTATCTGCAATGTCATCTAGATTTTTTTTTGAGGATTCTTTAGTCTCCCTCATAGATCAGGCAGTGGAGTTCTTGATCCATCCACCCACTCAAACACAGAATATGTCAAAGCCGAAGTATTAACCTGGATTTGGAGCATTCATCCCAGAGGCAATGGATATTCAAGGGCAGATCCTCAGCTCTTGTAAATCAGGGCACATCAATGGAGCTCTGTCAACTTACACATGGTGAAGATCTGATCCCCAAAGTCAAGACAGTCAGTCAATATTACCAGAATGTAGATTTTTTTTTTAAATCTATGAATTTAGTATTAGCATAGCTAAGTTGCATAATTCCCTAAAAATGCTATTATTACAAAAATGTTACCATCCCACCTCCACCATGATTAACAAAAACAATTCTCCAGTTTCAGCAATCTTGTTAAGAGAAAGGGGCAGACAGTTACTGTAAAACACATACACATATCACTGCTTTTAATCTTCTTCCAGTTCAGTGACATGTTAGATAATCAGGTTAATTTAAAAAAAAGAAAGTCAGACAGCACATGGTCTTGTGCTTGCAAAATACAAGAGGAGACCGGATTTTAAATAAATGGGAAGACAAAGGAGCTATTTTTGCTTTTTTCTACATAAAATATTTATTTGCAAGAATGAAAAGGCATAACATACTTTAGTTTTTACTTAACTACATATATGTAATCCTACAAAAGCATTTAGTTTTATTCCAATAATTGTTTTCTTGTAGAATTCAGCAAACAATTTCTTTACACTAAGACTTGTTTGCAGCGTGAACAACCAGATGGGAATGTATCCAGATGAGCAGTGCATGTATAGAAGTCATTACAAAAAGAGACTAACCAACATGCGCGCACACACACGGTTAAACATACATTTGGCAAAAGAACATAGATGTCAGCAAAGTCAAAGGAGGCTCTGTTACAGTTTACTGAGGGGTTTGGTGGATTTTGTTCTTGCACAGTCCCAAATAACTGCCATCTTTTTCACAATGGATAGTTTTGTTTAATATGCATATGGGCAAACCATAAACATGTGTGTCATCTGTATTTGCACACATACAGGGAGAGTAATCAAAATGATACATGGATGTAACCTGCAGGGTGACATTGGTTTGGATGGCCCGAAACATCATTTCTGACCCTCCACAGGGAAGTATTTCATTTTAGAGGAGAGGACTCCAGATAATTTGTCCTCTGGAACACTCAGGGCGACTGGAATATACCTGCAATTTGAATTTGATATAATTTCATCACTACATGGCCCTTTATATGCCCAAGAAAATTCTTTGCATTAATTTTTTATTGAGCTTAACATGTGGTTAAGAGGATGTGTTCATGGGAAAGTAGGATCCTTTAGCTCTTGTACCAGAAGACTAATGCTATTCCTTGAACTGTCACTCCCAGACCTCACATCTTATGGCCTTCTAATTTACAGCCCTAAAAAAAGTGGCTGAAGCTGTAATTCCATGAAACAAAAGTGACACCCAAAGGCTAATTAGGGTAAAGCCAGGTACATTTCCCTGTACGTATCCAGAGCTGTCTATAGCAGGTTTGGTGTTCAGTCCAGGCTCTATTTACATAAATCTTCATACAGAGTAAGAGAACATTTACAGAATGTGACAGGACAGCTTTCAGATAGGTAATACCACTGCTAATCCCATTTGCACTGCAGTTCAGATGGAACTTTCTATTGAACCAAGTGGAATGTGTGGCAGCTGTTCAGATAAATGCATAAATGATGATTTATAGATGAATAAAAGCCTTTATTTAGAGTGGCTTATTATTTTAAGAAAACTCCTGCAAGTGTCTTTAAAAATCACTCAATACAGAATATAGTTAACTATATCAATCAAGAAGAGGGGATTCCATTACTTCAGCATCACTGTACCAGAATCAGCTTTGGTCTGATACAAACACATATTTTAAAACAGAAGTCTTATTGTGACTCACCCACTTCTGCTCCTCTTCTGTCCTTACTCACCCCATTATATGAACAATAAAAGATCAAATTTATTTTACCCATGTTGCATGAGAAAGTGGAATCCACTGAAAAGGTCAGCCCCATTATTCTCCATGCACAGGGCTACATAATTAAAAAGGCAAGGAAGGAGAGAAGGTAAGAGTGGGGAAGGTGTCAATCTATACAAACAAAGATTTTCCTTCTGGGCGTGAAGAAATTTTCTCCTTGCTGCTGGAGTCCCCCTCCATCTCAGAATTACTCCACCCCCTTTGAGGCAATTTTGGAAATCCAGCTTTCCCTTACTCCATATCCCCACATTTTACTCTCTTTGAGGGATGGGTTGGAAGTGGGCTGTAAGTCAGAGCAGAGACTGGTGGCAGTAACTAAACCACAACACAGGCCCATTTCAGTCTCATGAGCGTTTCTTGCAAGACCCAAAGCAACACAGGCTTAGAAGATAGGAGGCAAAACCACATCTGTGCCTTCATAAAGAAAAGCAGATAGGTGATATGCATATGGAAAAACAAATTCCTGGCTCATGTCTAGGGTCTCTCTGAATACAATTTATCACTGAGGCAAGGCAGTTAACCTGGATCTCACCCACAATCTAAGACTGAATGTCCATGGTGCATCTGCTGGGTCTTAAGATTATTGGGTGTGCACATTGATTCACTGACTGAACCTGTATACATTTATTGATGTCTATAATGCACTTGTGTGGCCAGTTTATCCCCACACTCCCAACAGTCATTTGCCCTTAACACTGAAACAGTAAGTGCAGCTACAGTGCAAAGCTGCAGAGTATATAGTAGTTCAACAAAGCACCTCTCAAATATACTGCTTTCTTCCCAATCACCAAAGTAATGACCTACTGTTTCACCTTCAAAATGCAAAACATTCCCTTTCTAATTAGTGCTTGGAGAATGAAATATTTTAGTCACAGAGCATAAAAATACTAACTATATTTCTGTTCTTGTACAATGGCCTGTTGGCGCTAGCTAGAATCTAGAGCCCAAATACTCTGTGGCAATCCCTTGTGATGTGGCAATTAATATTACTCATTTATTTGACCTACACTGTAACTGTGTCTAGACAATGTCCACTGCTGAAAGTCAGTTTTACAGGAATTACCAAAAAAAAGGGGATGGTGGTGGAGGTGAAGGGAAGGCAGAGTTAAATTTTAGTCTAAAAATATATTTTGATGCAGATAAAGCTATGGGGTATCACAGGGTAGCTGGTCCCTATGGATATACTGAGCCCTGGACCAGAGCCAGTGAGTCCAATCCAGCCAATTAAAGAGGGCTGAGCTACACCTGGGCCTATAAAGGGCTGCTAACTGGGTAGCTGGAGGGGGAATTGATTGAGACAGGCTGTGACCTACCTGGAGGAGGTAAAGTCACACCAGAGTGGAGCAAAACTCCAGTGGTGGGGCCCCCTGGAGCAAGGGGGCCAGTGGCTGAGGGAGACAGCCCTGACACTGCTGCCCCCAAGAGGGAGCAGAACTGGCCAGAACTGGGAACCTGCCAGAAATCCCTGAGAGGGGTAGAGCTGGAACCTGAAAGCAAGGACTGAGTTAAGCCTCTTTTTTTCTGTTTGTTTACCTGGGTTTATTAAGAAAATAAACCTCCTTGAAAGAGACTGGACATGGCAGTGTATACTTTGGAGCTGGGGAGAAGCCTGGCCCAGTGACAGGAGCCAGTTCCTCAGATGGTATAAATCAGAGCTACTCCATGTAAATTGTGTAAATGGAAACTCTGCCAGCTGAGATCTGGCCTATGAACCTTGGTATATTAAAATATTAGTCTGCACAGAACAAATAGTGAACACATATGAAACTAACATAGAACTATAAATAGCATACCAACCTCTCTCTTCCTCCTCCCCTCCATGCTAACATGATTAGAACGGTCACATGGCCTGGGCCTGATTTCCATAAATATATATTTGTATTTAAAAAATAATGCCCTACTTTTCCTTCATAGCTTAACTTCCTAGACTCAAAGACTGACAGCTCGGGGAATGTCTGAAGGTTATAGGGGACAAGCAAGGTTTTACTGGTGTGGTAAAACATTGGTTTGGCAACAGGGTTCCATGCGGGCAGCTTTCAGGGTGTCTGTGCAGAAAACCAGCACGAAGGCTATATACTGCGTAAATTCCTGAGGCCCGGGACCGCTAAAGTGGGGCTTAGATGATTTCTTGGGACTTAAGTTGGTGCATGACTTGTACTGACCCTATATCCAGGAATGAATTTCACCCCAGAGTAAACAAGTGACCGATTGCTAGAAAAAGAACTTACAGAAGAAACCCATTTCAGGTTCAATAGGAGTAGTTGATTTTAAAGGAATAATATTCCCCAGCAGTGACTTCAACCCAAATGTTGTGCTAGTTTAGGAGATCCACAAAAAACAGCTAAAATTTCATTTTAAGCATCAAACATATTAGGGCTATAGAAAGAGGCTATTTTTATGGTAATAGGAACACAGGAATTGCCGTACTCCATATTATCCATACATAGATCAGACCATCTAATCCAGTAGCCTGACTCAGACAGTAACCTTTATCAATGAAGATGTAAAACCCCCATGAATGGTGTGGTGTATCCAAACTGCGCGAATTGCAAAAAGCAAACGGCTTTAATGGTGATTAGCAATGATTTGGGGAAATTCTCTATTTTAATAGTGTAAATTATTATTTAAATTAGTAACGTTAATAGTGTCTCTTTACTGGGAGAGAATGCATTCGTGCATTAAGTAGGGTAATGGGCACGAGAGATTAGACAGATAAGCCTCCACCTGCTCCACATTCACATTCCATACACAGCTATATAAATAAACCCCAAGAGAGAAATTTTGGGCGTTTTTCAGGAACGCTGAGGCCCCCACAGTTACACTCAAAGTCAAGGGGACCTGGGGATGCTCTGTAAACCAGGTCTTTCGTGAATTTGCTAATCCCTGACTCATGCCTACCTGGTTGTACTTGGATGCCCTGAGATAGCCAATATGGTAAATCTAACAGGTCATAAATTTTCCCCTTCCCTTTGCTGACCTCAGATGGTTAAAATAATGCAGACACCACTTGTGTCTCAGTTCAGACGCTCCCTCACTCACACCCATCTTTTCCTTCCTCTTTCCATCGTGCAGTTATAATGTGGGTTCCCAAAGGGAGAGCTGTGTGACGGTTGTCTGTGCGCACTAGCGCAATCCAGAGAGCCTGGGAGAATTAGCATGGCTGTTGTGGCTGACCCTTAAGAGGGGATATGCCTTAGGGGTGGTACTGACCCACACTGACAAGAAAGGATTGACTGTGAATATGCTCACAATGGTATTTCTCTCTCATTGCCACCAATTTTTTTTATTTTTTAAATAGACACCTGGACAGACAAATGGGGTTTGACCTAGAAAGTCATGCACACAAGAGGTGTACACACCAAATTCCATTATCTGCTAGTGGAATTGGGACACATTTCCCACTCTTGCCAATTTGAATGTTGTTTCTGATCATGGTACAGTGGGGACTGATCCAAAGCCTACTCAAGCCAAATGGATTCTTTCCATTAACTTCACTGGGTTTTGGATCAGGCCCATAGTGAACAGATGGGATAATGAACAAAGGAAGGGAGACTAAAAAAGGAAAAATCCAAACAGGAAAGGATGAAGCACTGCAGAGGCTATACTAAAATACAAAAACAATACACTTTTTCTTTAAAAATATTTTACAAAATAGAATACCTGGAGGAAAGAGTTACTGTACATGGTATAAAACACAAGGCTACACTAGTTTGGTCTCCTTATTTATGTAAAAAAGGAGAGTTTTTTTTTAAAAAACATTTTAAATATTTTTTTAATTGAGTTTTCCTGGTAAATTGCAAAAGTAGCCATACTATTCTATCCTATTTAGGTTTTTAGGCTAAAGCCATCACTGGGAACTCTGAGCAGCCCTTTGTAATAACCAAATAAAACCCAGAAGCAATCACTGGTGGGTTGGCTGGATCACGGAAAGGACAGTTGTGAGTGGAAAGGGCAGCCCTGCCATTGGCACAATCTGGGTATTGAGAGAGGGAGAATCACCGCACTAGAGGCAGTGTGCATTAGATGCATCAGCATGGTGCTTTAGAAGCAGTATGGTCTAGTGGATAGGGTACTGCACTGAGAGGCGGGAGACTTGGATTCTATTCCTGGCTCTACCAATGACCAGCTGTGTGACCTTGGGCAAGGCATTTCCCCTCTCAGTGTATCTATTCCCCCTCCCATCTTTTTTCTGTCTTGTCTATCCAGGATAGCGGCTTCAGGACAGGGACAGTCTCTCATCATGTGTGTGTACAGTGCCTCGCACAATGGGGACCTGACCTTGGTTTGGTCTTCTAGGTAGTTTTGTAATAATAAATAACTAGAGAGGGAGACCATCAGCACTGTCCTAAACTGCGTCTAATTGGGAACATGCAACAAATTTTTTCCTAAGCAGTTGCTTTAATTCCATGTACTTTTAGTAAAAGGGAGGAGGAAGGGGAGCCTCATTACATTCTAATAATCATTATAGAGAACTAAGTTTAATTTAAAAAAAGCATATTTTTTCCATCTTGATTTCAAAGTTCACCAAGAAAACCTGCATGGTCTTGGGAGCTTGGTTCTCCAGTCTGGCTACCAGAGGGAAATTTTGGAAAGCTAATAAATACTATTTACAACAGTAACAGGAGGCTCGGGGGAAGAAGAAGAACCTAGAGCAATCTGAGGCCTTGTCTACCTCAAAAAACTGCACCAATGTATCTAAATGGATTTAGAAACTAATTTAATTAAATCCATGCAATCCCCTAATGTGGACGCTCTTATTTTGGTTTAAGAGAGCCTAGTATTGATTTAGTTTATGCCAGTAAGGAATCAATTTAAGCTAAATGGATACAATATACTAGTCATAATCTTATTTAAAAATTTCCACACAAGGGAGTCGCACAGATTAAACTCAATCAGTTTCTAAACTGATTTAGTTAAATTGGTGCAATTGTAGACAAGGCCTGAGAAGACACATGGGCTGACTGAACTTTGCCTGGATCCTTCATAAGGATGGCAACAGTAAGGAAACTTCACCCACCACGTGATAAAGGGGCAGGAAAAGGGGGGGGTGGGGTGGAGAGAGAGAGAGAGAGCAGGGAGAAGAAAAAAAAAATCAATACTGCCATTGAACAGACTCTCCTGTCTGTGCTGTTGGCTCAATAGGACTAGTGTCTGTTCTCTGCCCTCAGTGGGAGGGATGGGAACTGTGAACACATTTCTCTCCCCATAAAGCTCCAGTGTGCCAGAGTGATGGGCATGGAGCTGTGGCCAAATCCTGAGCAGTGTCACACTGTATCTTTCAGTTTCCTTCTCCCACGTGACCTACCACAAACGTTCCCCCGTCAGTTACATTTATCCTAATCCTCCATTCGATGGCTCTGCCCCTTGATTAGGATATACACACAAACCAACCAGCTGTACACCCTTGTATTACCAGTCAGGGACAGCAGTAAAAGCAGAAGCAGGTTTGTGTGCCCGGAGGAAAGGACAGAACGAGGACAACTGCTGCTGACTCAAGTCACAGACTCTTCAGCCAAATCAGAAGTTGGCAGACTCTCTCTCTTTTGCCCGTTGGTTCCCTGATGGTGATGAGTCCAGCGGAAGGGGTGGGGCTTGGGTTGGAAAGAAGGGAGGATAATGGGGGGGAGGGGGGAGAGAAGGCCTCTTTTTTAAGAAGTGGCATTAACTCGTCTATCAATTTCAATTATTTTCAGCGTTTCATTCACTTCCAGCTCTGAGCTGACCCTGTGAGGAGAAAAATAAAAAGGATTATTATACCTGTATGCAATCATGCAAAAAGCGCACACTCCACTGAAACTGGCTATTGCTATTACAGTGCCTGTTATTTACCAGGAGCTCACTGGTTGGAACTTGGTAACACATCAAATTAGTCACCTCACGCTAAAATAGATATGCTGGGGTTAGGGGGTGGGGTCACAGGCTGTCTCATCCTAGTGCTTTAAGAGACGTATCCAAATAAAAACCCATTTGGCACAATATAAAGGATCTGTTGAAGAGATCCAGGCCTTGAGCAGCAGGGTGGTGGCAGGGCATGCAGAAGTACAGTGAAGGAAAAGACATCACACATCAGTTCTTCAAACCAGAGTGTGTCTCATTTTCGAGGAGCACCAAATCTCACATTATTTTAAAGGAAAGAATGTAACAAGGAATTCAATGCAACTTTCTGAGGGTGACCCTTCTAGCAATACATGTTCCACCTTCCCAGCTCTGTCCTGCAACAAACTGCAGAGCCATCTTGAGTGCAAAAGGCACCCAGTTCCTCATAACCCGCCCAGTCAGAAATCTTAGTAATCCACAAGCTCATGTCGCCATTCAAATGGCAATGCCCCATGGCCTGCATATTTTTAGATTGCTTGATGATGCGCATTTCCCCTCAGCTTTCAGCACGTAGGCAATGCATCTCCCTCTGGGTTATATTTTACTGATATACAAATAATAACTTCTTGGGACGGAAAATAACGCTATAAGTGTGTGTCTGTGTGTAATTGCCTGCAAAATCTTTCTGAATTAAGTTAAACCTTACTGAAATAAGTTTCAGTATCTTAGGAGCTCACTGTATCAAAAATGCAAATGTTTGTGTGTTATTGTGGGATAGTATGTAAGCTGTCTAGGAGATAAGACTAATATAAATGCGGGGAAGTCTTATGAGCTTCCAAGGACTCTTTTAAACAATGGGCTAAGACAGGGGTCGGCAATGTTCAGCACGCGGCTCGCCAGGGTAAGCACCCTGGCGGGCCGGGCCAGTTTTATTTACCTGCTGACGTGGCAGGTTCGGCCAATCGTGGGCCCCACTGGCCGCGGTTTGCCGTCCCGGGCTAAGGGGGGCGGCGAGAAGCCGCAGCCAGCACA